ACAAGGCCTTGTACTTTGATGACTTTGGACTGAAACCATGAACAGTTTGCAAATGTGCAGGTAACCTTTTGACCACTGCAGAACACCCTACCATTGGACAACATCTCTTTTTGTGGTAATCCTTGTTGCACCTCTTTTGCCCATGCTCATCAGCATTTGTTTTCCTTTCCTATTGCCAGCAGCTGCACTCTCTGCAGTTGAAAAGGAATATTTCTTACGTAAATTAAACCGCAATACTGCAGCACGAGCTTGATGTTTTGGCCAATCATGCACTTTTTGCAAATGCCTTGGCAGATGAACAACAATCTTATGACAGTAGGGTACTGGGCATTCTTTTTTAATCCTCGCTTTGCTTGGACGCTTTCTCTTTTTAGACTGGTCTGATTTGTTCACATTGGTATTGGCTGATTCCTCTTCCACAATTTCTTCATCTGAATCACCTCGCACCATTTCATGACCTGAAGATTTATCACTACTTTCATCACTACTTGACTCCTCATCCTGGTCTGGATTATACTCTGATTCATCTCCGTCCTCTTCGCAAGACATGTCATGTGTCCACGACTTCCTCAAAGCAACAGCTTTTTGGGATAACTAAAATAGTAATCACATATTAAAACCCACTATTATGTTAATATACATGTACAATGTATAAATTCAAGTGTACCATGTACATGTAAGAAGGTTAGCTATTATGAAAACCACTGGGGAACTACCGGTACGCCTGAAATAATATTAATACATACATGTACATTGTGTATATTAAGTTTCAGTTCGCAAAAAGGAAAGGCAAAGAAGACAAACTTCCAGACATTCTCAGCAATAAAGAGGGTCCTTTTGTTCACCTGGTGAAAGGAAATGACTGTTCAAGGTTTAAAGCAACTTAAAACTGGGCAGTTAATGATATATCTCTGTCAATTCTTAGTTTAAAGCTAATAATCGGTGACTAATCAGTTGATTATTCATTGATGGCATTGATCTTCGGATAGTTATGTCTGGACCAGAATATCGTGACCTTTAATGGCCCCACAACTGCACGCATAAACAAACCATGCTACAACAACATTACAAATCTATTCAATACTTACCCTCTTTGCCATCTTCGTCAATTAACTTCAAAGGGGATTTAGCACCAGTGACACAACTTGGCTTGAAAGCCTCGATCGTCCAGGACACAAGCCCAAAT